GACAAAACGAAAAATCTTCAAATATTCAGCAATTCAGTTTTTTTTTCTGTTTCATTTTAGGCATTTTGATGCGTGTGTAGTGATACTGCAGTTTTGCAGTTTTTTTTTTTTTTTTTTTAAATTAAGTATAACATAGTAATGTATGTGCATCTTAAATGTATAACATGAGGGATTTTTATATATATTTGCACCCAGGGGTTCCTGGGTGGCACAAACAGTTTACCCTGGACTACTAACCAAAACATTAGCAGTTCAAACCTGCCCGGCAGCACCACAGAAGAAAGGCCTGGTGATCTGCTTCTGTAAAAATTACACTCAAGAAAACCCTATGGAGCAGTTCTACTCTGTAACATATAGGGTCGCCAAGAGCCAGAGTCAACTCCATGGCAACGGGTTTGTTTTTTTTTTACCCTGACTCTAAACCACCACCCAGGTCAAGACAGATCATTCCCAGTCATGGGACTCCCAAAGACTTCCCTGTGTCCCTCCCATCCAATACCCCCACCTCCCAAGCCAAAGGAAGTGACTAGGTTTACTCCTGTCACCAAAGACTAATTTTGCCTGCTTTGAACTTCATTTAAATAGAATCAGACAGTATGTACTGACAAGTACTCTTTGCACATAGCATTATATCATGAGCATTTGCCCGTGTCATTTAATATTCTCCAAACACAATGGCCTCCTGGTATTTAGTTGTCCAAACAAGCCACCATTGCTTAAACCAGTCCACTGGCACCAAGTCAGCTTGACATGGACCAAACTCCCCTTGGGGGTCACGCGCTGGGATGGCTCTGGCAAACGCTCCTGGGGACACGCAAAGAAGGAGCAACAGGTGCCAACATCAGCCAGCCCTGACAAGCTGCTGGGGGGCAGAGGGTTCCTAGGTGGTCACTTACCCAAATGCACTTGAAGGCAGGAAGGATATGGAGCCATCCCTGAGCCAGCGGGATCTCTGACCAAAACCATTGGCCCCAGGACACTTGCCCAGGCCTTATCTCATTTAACCCTTAAAACTGCCTGTGGTAGCTACCTTCTCCCATTTTCCTGAGGCAGAAGCTCTAGGAAGGAAATTTCCTAAAGGCACACAGCTGGACGGAAGGGCCAGGCTCTCCAGATTCCCAACTAGGGACCCAGCCTGTGAAGTCTGACATTGGTGACCTAAGCAGACACTTTCAGAAGAAAGAGGTAGAGCCGGGGGCTGCCAGGATGAAGGCAGTAGGTTAAGGAACTGGGGTGGAGATGAATGAGGTGTCTCTTTTCACCACTTGGCTATGAAGGAAATGGGGAAGAGGCCTCTTGTGGGAATGACATGAAGTGTGGATAGGCCCAGGGCTTGAGGTGGAGGACAGCTTCCTTTCCTCTTCTCGCCCTGAGGCAGCCGCATGGCCTCGTGATGGCCACATAGACATGTGGGTTTTGAGCTCTTCCTTAGTTTCTTCAGTCATAATGTGGAGAAGATGATGGTACCCACCCTGTAAGGAGTTGCTTATGGCATGGCCCTCTTGGCACGTTGCCTGGAAATGGAGAGTGTGTGAGAAAGGAGACCTCTTCTCACTCACAGCTGCCCTGAAAGACGAAGGTGGGCCTGAGCTGGGCCAAGGGAAAGGGATGCATCCCCAGCCTGTGAACATGCAAAGTGGCCTTGGACAAGACCCTTCCACATCTCCCGGCCTCAGCCTTCGCTTCTGTGCAATGGGAGGCCATTGAAAGAGATACTCCCCAAGCAGCTTCCCAGCTCCAGGCTTCTGTGTTCCTGTGGGCATGTGTGATGGGGCCCAAGGACAGGGCAGAGCCCTGCAGATAGTGGGAAGGACCAATTCCTGTGGACAGGAACCCTACGCCTCTGCTAGGAAGAAAAGGGGCTTCTAGCCCTGGAGATGGAATTATGGGGAAGGGCGGAGGAAGCTACCAACTTTGATCACCTCCTGTGGGCCAGGCATATTACTTGCCTTATCTAATCCAGCCCTCTCAACAACCCCGAGAGGAAGGTACAAGCAACTCCATTTAACAGGGGAGGAAACTGAGGCTCAAGGAGGTGACTTGCCTAGGGTCACACAGCTGGCACTTGGAGAGCTTGTGATTTTAACTGAGTTCTGTCAGATACTTTCCACTGGAAGACTGATTGCTGGACAAACACACACACACACACACACACACACACACACACACACACACGAGAGAGAGAGAGAGAGAGAGAGAGAAGAGGGTATTTCTGGTTCCTGTTTTATCTTCAAACGGTAACCAAAAAACCAAACCTGTTGCCCTAGAGTCGATTCTGACTCATAGAGACCCTACAGGACAGAGTAGAACTGCCCCATAGGGTTCCCAAGGAGCAGCTAGTAGATTCGAACTGCCAACCTTTTGGTTAGCAGCCAAGCTCTTAACCACTATGCCACCAGGGTTCCTCACACTATAAAGCGCCATCCAAATGGGAGTTATTATCAGTGATGAGTGATGGCTGGGATGTTAGGGACACAACACAGCCTCCTTGCTAATTCATCCTAACAGAAGTGAGATTCCGAATGGCTAAAATGAAACAAAAAAATTGAATTGCTGAATATCAAAGTGACTAAATTTGATACATTAAACGAAAGGCAAGTCTTGCTTTCCAGCACTGCGTTTAACCACTGCTAAGTAGTATTCCTCTGAACCTGCTTTAATGAATAAGCCGAGCAGAGTTTATAACTGATGGCTGGACACACCCGGGGACTCCTGCAGTTAGAAGTAGTTTGTTCCCTTCAGCAGGTTAACCATTACCCTTCTAACTGTGCTAGCACAATTCGTTTGCTGCCTTAGCAGAAGCTCTCTCTCCTGGGTGGGGGGAAACTGTGTGGGCTTTGAAGTGAAGCCCAGCTCTGCTGGTGTCTGCCAGTGCTGTGTGGCCTTGGGTGAGTTGCTTGGTGTCTCTGATCCACAGTTTCTTCATTCTGTGATGTGGGGAGAAGACTCCAAGGTTCACAGCCTTGTTTGGAGAATTTGACTGGCATAATGTTTGCAAGCCACAAGATGAGCAACTACTGCGTCCTCCTCCAAGTCTAGGCTGCTCAGCCCTCAGCCGTCAGAGGCTGGGGTGTCCATAAGTCTAGGGAGGGGAAGTTGTCCCGACCCTGCCAAATAACTCTGCCATTCTGTCATACAGAGAAAGAGAAAGACCCTAATTACTGGCGAGTCCAGGCTCAGGAGACCCTAAAAACTGCCCTGGAACTTCAGAATCTCAACACCAATGTGGCTAAAAACATCATCATGTTCCTGGGAGATGGTGAGGCCTGGGGGCCTGAGGGAGGCGCTGGACGGGCACGTAGTAGGGTCCCAGGGAGCCAGACTGAGGTGAAGGGGGCTGTGCTGAAGGGCCTGGGGCCCAGAGGGTGGGTGTGTTTAAGGGGATGGGAGTGGCCAGCCTGTGGACACAAGAGCCATCCTCTAGTGCCCACTGCCCAAGCCTGCCTTGGCACCAAACTAGAGAGCTACAGGTACGCAAGCAGGCTGATAGGAGAGCAGGGAGCCACAGAGACTAAGGGCCCCTACTCCCTGCCACAGGAATGGGTGTCTCCACGGTGACGGCCGCCCGCATCCTCAAGGGTCAGCTCCACCACAAGCCCGGGGAGGAGACCATACTGGAGATGGACAAGTTCCCCTTTGTGGCCCTTTCCAAGGTGAGTCCCAGCCCCAAGCCACCCTAGCCCCAACCTCTCACCTCTCAACTTGGCAACATGGGGGAAAAGGCAGAAGAATGGCATCCTCTAGATCTGGGCTCAAGCCTGCAGATCCTGCAAGGCGTTCAGTCCTCCTGGGTCTCAGTGGCCCCACTGTGAAGTAAGGGCAGCAGTAACTCCTTCCCAAGAACAATGGAACAAAATGCTGCCCAGTCCTGAGCTCTCCCCATGATCTGTTGCAGATCCATAGTGATCCATAGAGATTTCACTGGCTGGTTTTCTGAAGTAGATCGCCAGGCCTTTCCTCCCAGTCTGTCTCAGTCTGGAAGCTCTGCTGAAACCTGCTCAGCATCACAACAACATACAAGCCTCCACTGCCAGGCAGGTGGTAGCTGCACAGGAGGTGCACGGGCCGGGAACTGAACCCAGGTCTCCTGCATGTAAGGCGAGAATTCTACCGCTGAACCACCGCTGCCTCATTAGTGAAGTATAATATCATGTTTTAAAAAGTGCACAAGTATACAACTTGAATTTTCACACACTGAACATATCTGTTTAACCAGCATCCATATCAAGAAACTGAGCATGACCGCAGCCAGAGGTCCTTGAGCGCTCTCTAGTCACCAGCCCCCTCCCCACCAAAATAGCCACCATCCTGACTTCTAACAGCATAGATGATGAGCTGTGCCTGCCTTTGTATGTTATATATATGGAACCATCCAGCATATACTCTTGTGTCTGGCACTTACAGTCAGGATTGTCTGAGATTCATCCATATTGTGGCATGCAATAGTGTTTCGTACATTCTCTCCCGAGGAGGTATGGAAAATTAATTGGATTCAAGGCAATACACACTCAGTGGTAGCTATAATCGGTGGTGGTGGTGTGCAGTCAACATCCTCCAGACACTCAGGGCCTGGGCTCACTTCTGGGGGAATAGCAGAGATTGTAATGCTTTTTGTGCCTTCCAGTTGCTCACAAAGGAGCGTTGGTGGCACAGTGGTTAAGCGCTCAGCTGCTAACTGAAAGGTCAGCAGTTTGAACCCAGCAGCTGCTCCATGGGAGAAAAATGTGACAGTTGGCTTCCTTAAAGAGTACAGCCTTGGAAGCCCTATGGGGCAGTTTTACTCTGTCCTGCAGGGTTGCTATGAGTCAGAATCGACTCGACAGCAGTGGGTTTAGTTGCTCACAGGCTGGTGGGGAAAGGAGGCAGACAAATAATTTCAGGGTCTATATTAGAGGTCTGAACGGGGCTGGGAGGATGGCAGAGAGCACTGGCCTCTCATTCCTACCCTCCCCATCTCCTTCTTCTAGATCCTATCTCCCCCTCACTACTACTCCTTCTCCCAGTCCGCCCACTCCTTCAGTAACCACCTCCCTTCTTTAAGACGCACCTGCCGCCTCCCCAGTTGTGGGCTCCTGCAGCCCCAACCTAGAGAAAGGCCTCAGCCGATCCAGCCTGCTCCCCACTCCCCCGACCCTCCACCAAACCCTCTTTTCTCTATCTGTTGGAGACCTGGGTTCTGGTCCCTTCCTGCTGTGCTGTGGCTACCTGGGCACAGGGAGTAGGGCAGGAGCAGGCAGCTAGGTGGCTCACGGGGGAACCTTGGCGGGTCATGCCCAGTCCCCGTGGGTGTGCGTGGGGGTGGGTGGGCAGCAGCATGGGCCAAGACCTGGCCATCTCCTAACCCTCCTTTGCCACCTGCAGACATACAACACCAACGCTCAGGTCCCCGACAGCGCGGGCACCGCCACAGCCTACTTGTGCGGAGTGAAGGCCAACGAGGGCACTGTGGGGGTGAGTGCGGCGACCGAGCGCTCCCAGTGCAACACCACTCAGGGAAACGAGGTCACCTCCATCCTGCGCTGGGCCAAGGATGCTGGTGAGTCGAGGAAGCAGCAGGGAATGGGGCCTAGCTCTGTGAACTGCCTGGGCCTCGGTCATCCCGACTGTACAATGGGGAGACGGTTGAAAAAGATGCTGTCTTGGGCTCTTCCAGCTCTGATGTTCCAGGAGTCTGAAATATTCGTGGAATCCCTCCCATGATAGGGAAGGCTAGTGGTTAGAGGTGGGTTCTAGTCTCAGGTCTGCCACTGACCAGCTGAGACCCCAAGCAGACAACTTCATTTCCCTGAGTCCCTGGTTGTTGCAAATAGTTAATGCACTCAGCTGCTAATCGAAAAGTTGGAGGTTCGAGTCTACCCAGAGATGCCCCGGAAGAAAGGCTTGGTGATCTACCTCTGAAAAATCAGCCACATGAAAACCCTACTCTGATATACATTGGGTAGCCATGAGTCGGGATTGACTAGATAGCAACTGATTAACTGGTTATATTCATTTGATGGGGCCTGAAATGGGCATGAAAATGTAGCCCCCTCGTAGGTTGGGCATGAGTAGGAATAAGATGATGCATATAAAGGACCTCACCCCGCTCCTCTTCCTCCTTCTTCCTTGCAAGAAGGGAAAACCTGGAATTGGGACGACCTGGCCCATACTCTCAGGAACTGTAGAATCAGGGTACTAGGCAGACTGACACAGATGACAGAGCCACACCCCACCTGTGATCCCTTGGGAGGGACTCCTGTAGGTGGGGGGCTTCGTGGAGGAATGTGGTTCTGCTGGGTCCTGTATGGAGGGGAGGAGTCCAGCCCAGGTGCTCACAGCTCGAGAGCCATCAGGAGGATGGGAGGGTCACAGAGGCAGTGTGTCTGAGCTGCCAGGGTATTTGGAAGCTATCTCCCATACCCTTTGTTCAGATGGGGAGACTGAGGCCCAGGCAGTCAGTGGAGCTGTTGGGAGGCCAGTCTTTGGCTGGCAGAGGGAGGCAGCTTAGACACCCACATCTCCAGATGATGCTAATCCCCCTTCTCCTCCACCCCAGGCAAGTCTGTGGGCATTGTGACCACCACCCGGGTGAACCATGCCACTCCCAGCGCTGCCTATGCCCACTCTGCTGACCGGGACTGGTACTCAGACAATGAGATGCCCCCAGAGGCTGTGAGCCAGGGCTGCAAGGATATTGCCTACCAGCTCATGCACAACATCAAGGACATTGAGGTGAGGGCGCACTGGGGCCAGCACAGGGGCGGGGATGGTGATGGGGGGCCTCGGGTAGGTGGGAGGCCTCAGGCCCAGGCTGGCCCAGGAAAGCTGCTTGGCTTGGCTGCCCTCACACCTGGGAGGGCTCCCAGCCCATTAGGGGATTTGTGGTTGGGGCAGGGAGGCTCTGAGGGATTTCTCTGTGGTGGGGCTGGGGGTAAACCCTGATGTGGCCACCACCACACCCCAAGAACCAGGCGCCCAGGGATTATTCCAAAAGTTGGAACCTGGCGTGGCACCCCCTCCCTCCACGTGGGAGGTGGAGGTGGCACGGTGGCCATCCGAGGGGAGTACCTGCCCTGCACATTCACACCTGCACAGACAGCAGGTGTCCACGCACCCACCCAGCACGCAGACATCCACTTGGAAAAGAGGCAGTGTAAACAATGGTTAGTGCAAGCTCTCATTTTAGACTTCCTAGCTTCACCTCCTGAGCCTGCCGTTTGCCAACTGTGTGACCTTGGGTCAGTTACTTGACCTCTCTGAGCCTCTATTTACCCCTTTGTGAAATGTACATCCCTCTATCAGCCCATTGCAAGAACTGAATAAGGTAATCTCTGTAGAGAGGTCTGACACTTAGTGAGGGCCCAGAAAGTGGTAGTGTTTATGCATGAGCCATGTGTGTCCCTACTCCAAAACACACATATCAACATACCGAGCAGGCCCACACATGCAGGCATAACGCGTGTTCCGTAGACGTCCTCCCCTTGATGCGCAAACTGGTCCCTACTCTCTGTTCTGAACTGAGGACTTGCAGCTTGTTCCTTTTGCAGGCTCTTGTTACCCACTGCAGGGTGGGGTGGGGGATACAGCAATGGGGAGGGAGAAGTTGGTCCCCTGAGCCTGAAAAGTGAGGCTCGGAGAAAGCCCTCAGGCCCCAGCCACCCCTCACCTCTGTTTTTCTCCACCTCCAGACCTGCCAAACCTGCCCTTTCCCTCCCCCATGAACTTTCCCCCAATTTCTAGGTGCCACCTGGTGCCACCTGGTCCCTCTACCAACCCATGTCTTCCCTCTTCCAAGCCATGGATTAAGCACCACCTTTCAGGACAAAGAATCCTGTGGACCCCAGCTAGTGAGCAGACATTTGAGGCAAAGTTACCCCATCCTAGAGCAAGTCCCTTCCCCCCCTCCCAGAGCCTCAGTTTCCCCACCTGTGTGACAAGAACAGAGAACTCCACCTGCCTCCTCCTCGGCTGTTGGAGGCCAAGATGAGGTCATGGACGTTAGAACATTTGTTGGACAACCACAAGGTGTAATTACGGGGCTACGCTTTAGAGAGATTTGGCAGGCACAGCCTGAGATGGGGGACAGGAGCTTGAGGGAGAGGCTTTTCAGCCGGTGGTGGGTGGGGGTGCCCCCTTGGGAGGGCTGCTGGGGGACACTCAGAGACTGAAGGAGGGAGGGAGAGAAGAAAGGAGGGAAAGAGGTGGGACAAGTATGATGACTTTCCTCCCCTCTGCCTTCCTCTCTCTTCCGCCCTCCTTTCCACTCCAGCCCCATCTCCCCCTGCATCACCACCACCCTAAGGCCCCTCAGTCCCCAGGCTATCCATGAAACACAAATCCTGGAGTCCGCCCTGAAAATAAATATCTTCTCCTAAAAAAAAGGGAAGAAGAAGAAGAAAGAAAGACACAAACCCAAACCCCAAAGCCAAACAGCAAGTCTGTTATTTGGGAGTTTAATGAGCCCGTGTGAAGTCCCTGCTGGGCTGGAAACGATGAGGCTCCGGCAAGAAGATTGGGGGCTTCATTTTCCACCCTGGAAATGCCAAGGGGTCGGGCTCTGTGGGAACGCTGGTGGCGGGGGGAGAGACAAGTGACCTGGGGTCCCCTTCTTCCCCTCATAGTCTCCCTACCCCTAGAGTTCCTGGCTGGAGCTGCAGCAAGGAGCTTGGCCCTTTGGAAATACTTTTATTTCTACTACTCCTGGCAGTGAGAATAGCTACCAGAGTCCCCATGGGGGCTATGCTGGATTGCTGTATTTCCTCCCATGACACTTCTGTGGGTAGGTGTTATTTCCATTTTACAGATAAGGAAACTCAGAGAGGTTAAGTAACTGGGCTCTGGGTCAATAAACGATACAGCCAGGATCCAAACCCAAGTCTGACACCAAAGCATCTACGCTCTCCAGTACCCCATGGTCCAGGCTTGTCCTGGGGCACTGTCCTCACCTCTACCCCCTGCCTGGGCTCCTAGCTCCCTCTCTATCTTACAGACCCTGGGTTCTGAGGAGGGAAACGGGGTGCAAGGTAGAGAAGGGGCTATGGAGTACCGGGCCTGGGGACAGTGGTGCTGGGGTCAGCCCCAGCTAGGTCTGCTCTCCCAAGGTGTCAGCCAGGGGCAGCGGCCTGGGACAGCAGCCTGGAACAGAGCCTGCGGTGACAGGAGGACACCAGTGTGGTGGTCACCACGGGCGGTGGCTGTTTTGCTCTTGGCCCCCGTCTTAAAAACAGTCAGGACTTCAAACATGGTCTCCCAAGGAAAACAAACAGCCCCGCGTCCATCCGCCCACGCACACCAGCCAGGGTGGGTAAAATTAGCCTGGCAGTGATTACACAGACGGTGAGTCCCAGCCCCACTGTTTGCCCAGGCTGCGGTGGGCCAAGTGGCTCCCAACTGGGCTGCCCCAAAGACCTCCCTGTCTGGGGCCTCTTGCCTGCGGGCGTCTGCCTCACTGTGAGGAGAGGAGGCCCTTGGAGGCCCTGTCCTCAGCTCCACAGACACAGTACAGCACTGGCGCTGGGGTCAGAGAAGCCCTGGCTTGGAATCTTGATCCTGCCATTTATTAGCTATGTGACCTTGGGGGACAGAAACCACCTTTCTGCATCTGTCTTTACTTGGAAGATGAGGTGGCACAAGTCCTTTTGCAGCTTTGCTATGAAGTTGAATAAGATGCTGTATCTTATCACTATGTGGTTAGCACTCAATACATGCTATTACTCTCATAAAGCGGGAGTTGTGTGTCAGCCTTCTGGAAAGCCAGTTAAGGTAGGTTATTGGTGGGTGTCCTTGGGTGATGCAAACTATTAATGCTCTTGGCTGCTAACTGAAGGGTTGGAGGTTCAAGCCCACCCAGAAGTGCCTCAGGAGAAAAGCCTGGTGATCTAGTTCCAAAAAATCAGATATTGAAAACTGTGGAGCACAGTTCTACTCTTGACACACATGAGATCACTATGAGTTGGAATTGACTCGACAGTAACTGGTTCTAAGTTATTGGTAGCTCCAATACTTCATGCCAAAGCCCCAAACCACAACCCCAGTAGACTATGATTCCATCTTCTGGGTCAGAGGAAGTTGATTTTTCTCCCCAGGCTGGAAAAGTAGAAGCTCAGAGAAGGCAGGTAGACTGAACTCAGCGTGCTGGAAAAGTGTCCACACCATCCCCAGGGTCTAGCTCTCTGGGCTGGGGCCGCTGGGGCTTCCAGATGTCTTGGGACCCCAGGGTACTGATGGCTCCTATCGCCTTTAGGTGATCATGGGAGGTGGCCGGAAGTACATGTTCCCCAAGAATAGAACCGATGTGGAGTATGAGATGGACGAGAAGGCCAGGGGCACAAGGCTAGATGGCCTGAACCTCATTAACATCTGGAAGAGCTTCAAACCCAGACACAAGGTAATGCATCCAGGGGCCAGATGGCTGCAGAGGTGTCCCACGCTGGGGTGAGCTGGGTGGCCCCTCTCTGAATCTCAGTTTTCTCATCTGTAAAACGGGAATTATAATTCTCACCTCGACAGGTTTTTATGGGGCTCTCGACTGGGATAACAGATACATGAATGGCACATAGTAGATGATCAAGCAGCTCCTTCCCTCAGGGGAGGGTGTCAGAGAGGGCTAGGTGATACTCAAGAGGGTGGGCAGGGAGTGATCTGAATGGATATTCAGTCAACCTGAGCACCTGCTGTGTGCGTGGGCCCTTGGCTGAACATGAAGTACAAAGGATGAATCAGATGGTCAAGGAAAGAAACAAACTTGGGAGCGCTGTGTGCTGGGATGGTGGGAAGCCCGCAGGCCTATGAGATCACAGAGGGACAAACCACAAGGGAGAGGCAGTCAGCCCTGAGCAAGCACAGTGGAGGTGCCCAGGAGGGGATGGAGAAACACCTGCTGGAGGAGGCAGTGTTGGGTGCAGAGCTTTGAACTGGTTCATTCCAGTTCGAACCCCTGCTGAGAATTTGCATTTCTAACAAGTTCCCAGGCAATGCTAATGCTGCTGATTAGGGACTGATTCTGAGAACCACTAGTAGAGCAGTGGTTCTCAAACCATTATATTCAAGAATCACCTGGGGATCTTGTTAAAATGTAGATTCTGATTCAGTATATCTCCGGTGAAAATGCAAATTCTCAACAGCTGTTAGAACCGGAATGAACCAGTTTGAAGCCCTGGTTGGGTGGAGGGCTAGAGATGGTGGAGGGTGGGAGGGCATGCAGGCAACAGTAACAGGCAGTATGGCCCATTTGGCTGGGGATGGTGCGAGCCGCTAACGGCTCAAGGTGGGAAGCCCTGAGCAGTGAGCTCACTTTGACAAGAGCAAGGGAATGGGCTGGGGGAGACTGGGGCCGTGGGAATGGCCTGAGTTCTGACTCCTTGGAGAGGCCGCTTGTTCTTTAAATCTGCGGCTTCCTGCCGGGCACGGGGCAGCTGGCATCTGGAAATGACTGTGGTCAGGGCTGAAGACAGTGGGGAGCAGTCTGGCAGCCACTTTGATGTCACTCTGGACTTGGGTTTCTGAGGGTTCCAGAACTGGTCCTTGGGGAGACCTCATGGGATGGGGATGGGCCAAGAACATGGTGGAGGCAGGGGCCCGGGAATGGGCCCCATGGAGTAGAGTTGGTGGGGGCGGGTGTTGAGTAGCTTTAAACTCTTTCCATTCCTTCTGAGTCACCTCAGGCTGGGCCAGAGCCCCATCCTGGCCCAAACCCAGAGACACTTCCCCTTCCAGCCTCAGTTTCTCCACATGGAAAATGAGGCCAGAGCTTAATCCTTCCTGCCCGGTCAGGGTGCTTACCCTGGAGCTCAGTCTAGCCTCCCAACATGCAGAGAGAAGGCCCACACCCCTGCCCTGGGGCTGGACTGACAGAGTGTCACTGTGGGGTCCCAGATAGGCCATACATTTTTAGAAGAAAATTCCTTAAGAGTGGGTTTAACTATTTAGTGACTGCATCATCTGTGTGCCTCAGCATCCTCATCTGTAAAATGGGAATAACAGTACCTACCTTGTAGGGCTGATGTGAGGATTAAATGAGGTAACCCAGGAGAGCCTCCTTGGTGAAGCAGAGATTACTTCCGGTCACTTCTGGAGCCTCACTTCCTCAGTTTCCCATCCTTCCCACAGCAGCCCCTGAGGCTGTTCCAAGGAAAAAGGTTGAAAATCACTGATCCTAATGCCATGGGCCAGAGAAAGCAAGGGATTTTCCTAAGGACACACAGTTGATTCTTGGCAGTGCCAGGACCCCCAGTCTAGGCCCTGAATGGCGCCATCTCCTGGCTGAGCCGGGCCAGCCACTTCCTGTGGTCTCCATGCCCTAGGGAAGCAGCACTTCTTCCGCTCTTCCAGACAAGGTCCCCAGGGCAGACCTCAGGCTTTGCTTCCTCCTTGGCTTGCCATGGCCCCTAGAATACACACAGCCCACACCCCTCAGCAGGTACTCCTGCCCCTCCCTTTTGCCCCGTGATACCCCTGCTTGGAATGCTCTCCCCCCAGACCCCAGGCTGATCAGTTCCTACCTTCTCCTCCAGGTCCCTGTTAGAACATCGCCTCCACCGGGAAGCCCTCCCTGATCCCTGCATCTGGGCTCTCCTAGTCCCTCCCCCTCAGAATTCTTGTCCCCTACATTATAATTGCCTGTTTATTTGTGATTTCTTGAGGCCAGCAATAGTAGGTGTTCAGGGAGGGATTGTTAACTGACTGAGGAACAAATAAATGCCTTCCTCCCGGCTCCCCCAAGCCCCTGACACGTGCTGAGACAGGCCCTTCCTTCTAGCACTCCCACTATGTCTGGAACCGCACCGAGCTCCTGGCCCTCGATCCCCATGCAGTGGACTACCTCTTGGGTAAGTAAGTAGAGTGGGTGGAGTGGAGGACACTCAGCTGAGTGCCCATGGCCAGGGCTGGGTGAGTTTGGCACCTGGGGTGAGGTCCCAGCATGCTCCTCCCACTTAGGGGCCTTTGACCTCGGGCTCCAGAGCCTGGGAGGGGTGAGGAAGGAGGTTCTGGTTCATGAAATTAGGCCTGAAATCTGACGGCGGTGCTGGGTAATTAGCCCCATTGGGCAAAAGCAAAACAAGCTCAGAGAGGGAGAGTGAGGTGCAGCATGCCGCACAGCTGATTAGAGTTATGACCCTGGCTGGAAGCTGGGACTTGAACTTCTCCTGGGCTGGGGAGAGGGGACCTGGAGTCAGCTCTCCTGTGTAACCAGGGGGAGAAGCCGGCCATGTTGTCTCTGCTGGTCCTACCTGGGAACTGCCTCCCCTCCCCAGGGTGTGGGGAGCAGGTAAGGGCCCAGGGGCAATGCCAGGCTTGGGGGAACGAGGACCCTGAGGCAGAGGGCCATGCAGGCTGGGCCCTGGGACCACCATGCAGACATCTGGGGCCTCTTTCCACTTGGCTGTTTGCCAACAAGTGGAAGCAAAATCTCCAGTCAACATTTCCCAAGGAGCACAGCTCCCTGGTCCTGGGTATGTCATTTGAGATTATGAGCTCGGAGCTGGGCACCCGGAGGGTACCCCAGACACACACACACACAGCCCTCTGCTTGCCTGGGTCCCACTGCACACATTCCACACCACACACAGGCCGGGGAGAGCCAGGCCTGACCTCATGTCATTATACAGTCCCACTCACGGAGCCTGGAGCAAGAGCATAGGGGTGGAGTCCAGCTCTACCACCTAGGAGTGTGTCACCTTGGTCAAGTGATGTCTCCTCTCAGTGCCTCAGTTTCCTCTTCTATACAGTAGGCATAATGACTCATCTACAAAATGTGGGTAATGATAGGACCTACCTCAGGATTGTCATGAGGATAAATGAGCTAATACATCATATAAATTATCTATTTCTGTGTAACAATCACCCTCAAGTTTAGCAGTTTGGAACAAGAGTCAGCATTGATTACCTCACACATCTTCTTTGGGTCAGGAATTTGGGAGCAGCTTGACTGGGTGGTTTTGCCTCAGGGTCTGTTCAGTCAACCGAAGGCTTGACTGGGCCTGAAGGATCCAGTTAGAAGATGGCTGGCTCTCACGGCTGGCAAATTGGTCTTGGCTGTTGGCAGGGCACCTCAGTTCCTCACCATATGGATGTCTCCATAGAGCTGCTTAAGAGTCCTCTCAACTTGGTGGCTGGCTTCCCCCAGAGATCCAAGGCAGAAACTGTCATGTCCTATGTCCTGACCTTAGAAGTCATATACCATCACACACTGTCATTTCCATGGTATTCTATTGCTGACACAGTGTCCTAGTTTCTTAGTGCTGCTGTAACAGAAATACTACAAGTAAATGGTTTTAAAGAACAGAAGTTTATTCTCTCACAGTTTAAGAGGCTAGAAGTTCAAATTCAGGACATCGGCTCCAGGGGAAAGATCTCTTCTGTCATCTCTGGGAGAAAATCTCTTTCAGTTTCTGTAGACCCAGCATTTCTTGATTCCTCGGCAATCTCCACGAGGCATATATCTTCCCCTCTGTTTGTGCTTACTTGTCTCTGTGCCTAATCTGCTCTTTTTATACCACAAAAGTGAGTAGGTTTAAGACACTCTACACTGATATGGCCTCATGAGCATAACAAAGAAAACCCTATTCCCAAACTGACATTATATCCATAGGTATAGGGGTTAGGATTCCAACATATATTTTTTTGGGGGGTGTGTGCAGGAAACACAATTCAATCCACAACACATGGGTTAGCCCCACTCAGTGTGGGAGGGGACCACACTAGGGCGTGAATCCCAGGAGACAGGGATCGTTGGGCACCATCTTGGAGGCCAACACCCACACGCTTCTAAAGAGCACAGAGCAGGCACTCTTAACTGGAACTATTGTTTGGCTGTACACACACTCACGGAAGGGCAGAGTGTTCCAGCAGGGCGACGACACCAACATGGTACATACAGTGTCCCCACACATGGAATCCAAAGAATGGATCACTCTCCTCACTTCACAAGTGAGAAAACCAGCTCAGGGAGCAGAAGGGACAGTGACCTCTAACCCTCTGCTGTTTCACTGCACAGGCTACTATGCCCTTCAAATCTAATGTGTAAACACACACACAAAGCTGCCCCATCAAGACAGGACACAGTCCTCTGCCTTAGGACCACGGCGCCTTGTCCTGGCCCCCCAGGCTGGGGAGAGGCTAGTGGATTTGAATCCCAGTTCTGCCACTTACCAGCTGAAATAGCAAATTACTGAATACCCTCTGAGCCTCAGTCTCCTCCTCTGCAGAATGGACTTGGTGATGCCCCTACAGGTGGTGGTCGTGAAGATTAAAGGAGATGGCATTGCCAAAGCAGCTGGTACAATTCTGGACCCACAAGGGCTACCAGATAAGCTCCCTTCCCCCATCACCCTCTACCCCCAAGTTGGGTGTGGGGAATGTGTGTTCCCTGAGACACCCCAGCTGCCTCAGGGGGGCCTCATAGCAGAGTCATGGACTCTCACCATCCTGTGTCCCCTCAGGTCTCTTCGAGCCGGGGGACATGCAGTACGAGCTGAACAGGAACAACACGACTGACCCGTCGCTCTCTGAGATGGTGCGCGTGGCCATCAAGATCCTGAAGAAGAACCCCAAAGGCTTCTTCTTGCTGGTGGAAGGTAGGGGTCCCAGGCCTGGCTGCAGGGACGCTCCCTGGAGCCAGGGCTGCTGAGAAGGGAGCTCTGGTATGTGGCCCTGGGCCAGGGGACATGGCGTCCAGCTCTCAAAGAGAACTGTCCCAACATGGGGCAAGGGGGAAAAATTTCGGGGGGTGGGGGGTGAGGCATGGATTGTGGATTCCTAGAGTTGTTAGCTCCCCAGCCTCAACGAGGTCTTCTCCTTTGGGCATGGAGGGGGCTGCCAGTCTTCTCAGGTTAGGCAGGCTTCCTGAGGGAGGAGGCAGGTCTCTTCCTTTTGGATTCCGCCCCCACCCCCTGCCCCCTGCACCAGGCCTGGCTATGGAGGGGGAGCAGCCCTCAGGCCCTCAGCTTTCTAGTGCTGGATGCCGAGCCGAACGTTCACAGGGTTCCCAGCGCTGTCACGAGGCCCCAGAGTCAGACTTGAATTCTCCTCCTGGTGCTGCCATCCACTGGCCGCATAACCTTTACCTGAACGTTTCTGTAAAATGTAGGTAAAAACAGTTCCCCTCTTGCAGAGGGCTTGTGAGCCTCCCCTGCATCCTGAGACATACAGTACTTGGAACGGGGCCCCGCAGAGAACAAAACCTCAGCGTTTGCATTAATATCATCATCATTAGCATATAGTAGCTAAGTTAGTAACGATAGGAAATGTGAGGAAGTGATAAAGATTCCAGAATCTTCCAAAGTTCTAACAGCCATTGTCCTCCATGGTTCCTGATATTGCCTCGCTGGCATCCACATGTACACACACACACAGTCACTCACATGCATGTGGACATACTTGCACATATAATCTTTCACCACACACATACACGCAGGTCCCTCCACCCTCCAGAGGCTGGTGGCCGCCAGCCCAGCTTAGCTGCTTCCTTGCCAAACCCTGGGGTTCCCACTCAAGCATGGCGTTCTTGTCCTGGCCCCGAACAGGCCTCTGATGCCAGGAACCAGCGGTGGTGAGCACGGGCTCGCCTGGGAGCGGCAGTCTTTGTGAGCAGGGCCAGGGCTGGGCCTGCCATGCCAATTGCTCCCAGAGCCACAACAAAGGGAGGATCCACCCTACCAGGCTGCCAGGCCAGAGCAGTTGACGCCCAGGCTGGTGGGAAGAGAGGGCAGCCAGGTGGCCAGGCTCCCTGACCCTCAGAGCTGGAAGTGTCCACCCAGGCAGCCATGTGGAGAGGGGGAGGTGCCCCCCTAAGGTCACACAGCACTTAGCCACTAGGAAAGCTTACAACCAGGCCTCCTGTGCTCCTCTGGTGGAGGTAGGACAGGATTCAGGCTTCAACAGGCCTGTAGAAGCCTGCCATGAGTATTGCCCAGGCACCAAGGGCCTCCACCACCCTTTAGGTGTAGACAGATCTGTGCTTTATGAGTCGAGGGTATGTATTCATAGTGGAGACAGAAAAACAGGAGCTTTAGAGTGAGTCACACCTGAATTCAAATCCCAGCAAATTCCACCTTGGTCACATGACTACCCCACTCTAGGCCTTAGTTAGTCCATCTGTCAATGGGGCTGATGGTACCCATCTCTGCCTAGGATTGTTGTGAAGCTGAAACGAGACATCAGTTTGGTATGCCTGGCACATAGTAGGTATTCAGGTGTGCTGGTTCCCCTTCCTTATCCCCGAAGCAAGGATGGTAAGACTTCATCTTACATACTTTGGCATGTTATCAGGAGGGACCAGTCCCTGGAGAAGGACATCATGGTTGGTGAAGTGAGGGTCAGCGAGAAAGAGGAAGACCCTCAAGGAGAAGGACTGACACAGTGGCTGCAACAGTGGGCTCAAACATAGCAATGATTGTAAGGATGGCGCAGGACTAGACAGTGTTTTGTTCGGTTGTACATGGGGTCACTGTGAGTTGGAACCAACTCAATGGCACCTAACAACAACCACAACAACCCCCGTGAAGTCTTCGGCGACTCCTTCAAGCAGCTAAAGAAACAGGCCTGGGAGCAGAGTGGGGTGGTAGGAAGAACACACACTTTTCTGCTGGGTGGATCTGCTTTGAAATCTTGGCTCTGCACTTCCCATACGTGTGACTTTGGTCAAGAGATTCCCCCTCTTTGAGCCTCTGTAAAGGTTGAAGGGCTGCAGAAAATGCCTAGTGTTGTGCCTGGCACATAGTAGGTGCCCAGTGAAGGTGACTGCCCTCCCCTATCAAAGAAAGGCTAATCAGGCTGTAGAATGGTGGCGGGTGGGGGGGTGGATCTTATTCCCCTTCACCCCTCACTCGAGGCCTTTGCCTTGGTGTCCCAAGGAGGCAGGATTGACCATGGGCACCACGAGGGCAAAGCCAAGCAGGCCCTGCACGAGGTGGTAGAGATGGACCAGGCCATTGGCCAGGCGGGCACCATGACCTCTGTGGAAGACACCCTGACTGTGGTCACTGCTGACCACTCCCACGTCTTCACCTTTGGTGGCTACACCCCCCGTGGCAACTCCATTTTTGGTATGTGGGCCTCCATTGGTGTGGGCACTGGGCACTCTCAGGGTCTCCTGTCTGCCCACCTGGGAGTAGGAGTGGGGTGGGAGAGCCAGCAAGCCCAGGGCCTGGCACATGGTGGGGACTTGGTGATAACTGGGTGGGAAAGAAAGGTTACTGATGGGTGGAGAGAAAACAGGATGAGGGAACAGAGTGGGTTGAGTGGGTGATTGGTGGATGGATGGGTGGGAGGGTGGATGGCTAGATGGAAGATGGATGGAAGAGAACAGACAGAAGAATCGGTGAGAGGATGAATAGATGCATAGTAGACAGGAGAGGATGGATGGATGGATGGATGGATGGATGGATGGATGGACGGACGGATGGATGGATGGATGGATGGGAGGGATGTGGCATAGTGAGAAATGGGGATGGTTGGTTAGAAGTAAATAGGATTCAGAAGGTGGTTTCATGGAGGTGGTTTGGGCCCAAGTTGGGGGCTGGGGGAGTGGACTCCTGGTGCTCCAGCATGACCCCAGGACCACCCCCTCCCATGCAGGTCTGGCTCCCATGGTAAGCGACACGGACAAGAAGCCCTTCACTGCCATCCTGTACGGCAATGGGCCTGGCTACAAGGTGGTGGGCGGTGAGCGAGAGAACGTCTCCATGGTGGACTATGGTGAGGCTGCCAAGGCCCAGGACTGGGAGGGGACAAGGCTCCCTGCTGGGATGGACTTGGGGGCAGAGTATAGGCTTATGGGCAAGGTCAGGGGTCTCACAATAGCCAGGATCTGAGTCAGAATAATCTCAATCCCATTCTACAAATTAGCAGCTGTGTGACTTTGAGCATGTCACTTCCACCTTTCCCAGCTTCAGTATCCCCCATAAAAGGATTCTACCTCCCGAGGTTGTCTGGGGTATGAGATGCGTGTGAGAAGCTTAGCATAATGCCTGGCATGTGTAGGTGCTAGGTATGTTACACTACCATTTTTACAGGCTGTATAATATTCCAATATATGAATTTCCCAGTTTTTTCATTCAAATTCATATTATTGAATATTCATTTGTTCTTGACACCCCTAGAGACCTGAAGTCTAATGGTCCAGCCTTTGGTAAGAGGCAAACCCTATTCCTTCATTGGATTCTTCTCTGCTAATCCAAACAGCCTACTAGTTACCAATTGCCATCAAGTCAATTTTCTGTATGTCAGAGTAGAAGTGTGCTCCATAGGGTTTTCAGTGGCTGTGATCTTTTAGAAGTAGATCGCCAGGCCTTTCTTCTGAGGTACCTCCGGGTGGATTAGAACTGCCAACATTTTGGTTAGAAACTGAGCTTAATTCTTTGTGCCACCCAGGGACACAAACAGCCTGGATGAAGTAAATAATCTTCTCTTTTGGGGGGTGAGAGTGCAGGCTTCTGATTAAGAATAGACTCAGGTTCGAATTCCAGGACCTTGGGCAAAATGACGTCACTGCACTGAGCCTCGGTTTCCTCTTCTATAAAATGGGGGCATTCAGACCAGCCTGGAAGAGGAACAGACAAGCTGCATGCATAGCACCAGGCCCCTGCCTGGCAGCCTCTTAGTAAGTGTTTCTTCTGGCCTGCAGCTCACAACAACTACCAGGCTCAGTCAGCTGTGCCCCTGCGCCATGAGACTCACGGCGGGGAGGACGTAGCAATCTTCTCCAAGGGCCCCATGGCACACCTGCTGCACGGCGTCCACGAGCAGAACTACATCCCCCACGTGATGGCTTATGCAGCCTGCATCGGTGCCAACCACAACCACTGTGCCTTGGACAACTCGGTGGGCAGCCCCTCTCCCGGTCCCCTGCTGCTCCTGCTGGCCCTGCTCCCTGTGAGCATCCTGTTCTGAGGGCCTGAAGCCCGGGCACACAGCAGCCCATGACAGATGGCCAGCCTCCCTCTCCCAGTGCTGCCTTCCTCCCGGCAGCCCACACCTCAAGGGGCAGGGAGGCGGAGGCCTACACAGCCTCCACAGCTGCCAGAAAGGGGACCCAGGAAACCAAAGTCTGCCGCCTGCCTGGCTTCTCTCTGGAATCCTCCACCGGAGCCAGACCAACTCCAGGCCCCGGCCTCTGCTCCCTCCCCACTGCCCCTTTGGCCAACAGGGTAGGTTTCTCTTGAGCAGGCAGAAAGCACAGACTGCAGAATTTTCAAGGCATCTTATTTTTCTAGCAAACATACTTTCCCAGGCCTGGAGGCCCTGAAGCCTCCACAGAACATTCCGGATCCGATGCACCCACTCCCATTGCCTTCTCCCTGGAACCCACCAGGCCACACCATGCTTATGTCCCTGCCCCCAAGCCCAGCCCTGCTGCAGGGGAGACCAAGTCCCTCTCCTCGGGATGGAGTTTGCTCACTCATTCATTCCAAGGTCATTTGGGGCTCCCAGGAAGTCATCTCCTGGGACTGGCCTCCAACCCCAGGATGGCCAGGGCTGGGAAGAGCAGGCCTGGCAGGACAGACACTTCCCAGCTCCCAGTACGCATGCCAGCTCCTCTCTGAAGCGACTCTCCTGTTTGGAAGGGCAAAAAATTTTCTCTTTTTGGTGTTGGTTAAAAGGGAACTCAAGACATTTAAATAAAACTTTCCAAATATTTCTGAAGACAGAATTGAGTCTTTGTGGTCAGTGAGGAGTAGACTGAAATAAGCTCATTTCTCTGGGAAGAATTGGACTCTGGGCCCAGGATAGGAGGTGGGTGTGGCCAGGGAGGGAGGGGTCTCCTGCGGAGTGGGGTCTTTGACACTCATTGCTTTCTGTCTCCGTGTCTCAATTTCCTTATCAGTAAAATGAGAGACAACCTACTCGTGGGTTGCTATGAGGATTAAAGAAGAGTTCCTCTGTGCTATGAAATCCACAGCAGAGAGAACTTCAAGGGCCTCATGACGCCCCTGTCACTTAGTACCCACAAGCAGAACTGCGTGTATGGCCCATTGTAGCCACTCGTTCATTTCACTCGTTCAATGAATTTTGAGTATGTGCTAGGCATTGTGCTAGGTCTTAGTTTAAAGGTGACCAAGACTAACATGCTCCTTGTCCTCAAAGAGCTTCAAGCCTAGTTCAGCTATTGGGGTTTTCTTTTTATTCTTGATTGTCAAGAAGGGGCAGTGGAGTCCGAATTGTAACTGACATTGGGAGTATATGGAGTTCCCTAGGTTTGCTCCTTTTACTCATTGGAATGAAAGTCCCTGTAATGATAATAATCACAGCAATGAACACTGATCATTTACTATAGGCCAAGCTCTGTGCTTCTGTGCTTGATGTTTTATATTCAGTTCATTTAATCCTCACTAGGAGGTAGGTCCTCATCATCCACATTTATAGACAAGGAAATAAAGGATATGGGAAGTGATGCGACGGCCCAATGTCTTCTAGAGAAGTTGTGAAGCTGGGATTTGAATCCAGATCTGTCTTACTGACACCTAATGATATCCTTTATTTGCTTATAATGCATTCCCAACCTCCTGCCAACCAGGTTCTGAGGCAGCTAATACCACAGACCAGTTAAATGTGAACTCAGAAAGATGAGAAACCATATATCAGAAGTGGGAACCTTCAGGAATGCAAAAGCAACTGAGCAGAAAACTCCTCTCTGAGCTTCCTAGCAGCCTAGCGAAAAGGGAAGCACAGCCAAGCTGATGCTGGGGTAAGAAAATGAAAGGACATGCATACATTCTTGCTACGACAAAGAGCCACCACTTGAATCGTACATAGTACAGTGTTTCCCAGGTGCCATTCTCAAACCACCTTTATAACTTCTGGTCTATTATTTCCCAGACATTTTTCTTTAAATTCACATCTTTAAGTAGCCAGTTTTTAAAAGCTCATCAGTACCATCTAAAATCAACTTACATGTCTCAGAGGTGTGCAAACCATACTTTATGTCTTAGGCTGAGTTTTCCCAGGCCCTGAGACAGGGATTTGAGAGGGTAATAGATAGGATTTGAGAGAGTCCCAGTTGGTGAGTGGGGAGGTGAGATAGGAAAGGGAAGGAAGCTGTAAAGGATGCATTATTAAACAGGTTACCATTGTGGGCAACTGGGGCTCAATCCCACTACAGAACTCTGGGAGACAGTGTAGAAGCTGTACCTCAGAGTTATCCCACCCACGGAGTGAGGGAGCTGGGGTATTTATTCTCCAACTCTCATCCATCATTTGCTAAGGGCAGCTCCTGGGGAAATCAACACCCTGGTGCTTATAACTTGCCCTCCAACTTGCCCCCCAGATATGTGTTGGAACATCAAATGCTCAGAGGATACAAATGGCCAACAGCATCTGATAAACCTTGGAATACACTGATGGGATTAAAAAGCATGGGCTGTGAGACAGGGGTTTAAATCTCTGCTCCATCACTTTCTTGGTTCTATGTTATTTGGTTCAAGTTATTCAACTTCTCTGGCCCTCTGTTTCCATAGCTGAACAGTGCCTAGCACATAATGAGCTTTTAGGATCCCTTTATGGACAAGGAGCTCTTCCTGCCCTGACTCCAGGCCATGGGTCAAGCTGTCCTTTGTGAGGCAGACATCACTGATACTGAAGCACCTCTCCCGACAGTCTCTCCCCACTCCTCCCTCACCCAGGCTGGGCTCTGCTCATGCTCAGGCCTGGGACACCCATCACCCCTTACAGTAACTGTTGGCGGTTGTGAGTCCAGATCCAAGCCAGAGGTGGAGGCGGAGGTCTCACTCTATCCATCAGCACACCTGGCCTTGGACCTAAAAGCTAAGGATGGACAGTCAGTACCCACAGCACAAGGGTGCCTGCTGCACTCAGAGGCCTTCTCAGGGAGGAGGAACGAGGTTGAACCAACAAATCCTCTAATCACAGAGGTAGCCCTGTCTGCTGTTACGGACAAACAGAAATCTCAGTAACAACACAATAAGTGTTTATTCCTATCTCAAACACCAGCCCAACGGTGGTGCCGCTGGTTGGGTGACATGGAGACCCAGGCTCTTTCCACCCTGTGGCTCTGCTCTCTTTTAAGTTTTGGATGTCCTTTCCATCTGCCAGCACATCCATGAGGGAGCACACAGTGGAGGAGGCACAGGGGCTTTTTAATCACATCTTCCTGAACACAGCACAAATCACTGCCACTCATATTCCATGGGTGAGAACTAGTCACATGATCCCACCTATATGCAAAGGAGTTTGGGAAACGTAGTCTCCAGCTGGGAAGCTACTTCCCACCAACAACTCTGTAGCAGGCCATATGGACATTTTGGGCCAGATAATTCTCTTTTGTAGGACTGTCCCATGTACTGTAGGATGCTTAGCAGCATCCCGGCCACTACCTACTTACTACACACCAGTAGCACTGTTACTTCCAGTGTGACAACCACAAATGTCTACAGACATTGCCAAATGTCCCCTGGGGGCAAAATCACCCCCCACCCCAGGTTGAGACCACTGCTCAATAGTGAAGAAGGGAAGAGGGAAACTTGGTGGGTGGTCTGCTAGCCACCTCAGCTTCACTTGTGCTCAGGATCCCTCTGACTCACACACTCCCAGACACACTGAGCACCTCACAGTATTTTTAAAAATAGGGAACTTTCACTTACAATCTGGATTTCTGGCAGTTTTGAAAAATGAAAGGTCTGGCTGGCAGTGGTCATCTGGAGTTGAAAGGTGGCTGCACATCAGGGGGACAGCTTTCCTGTTTGCCACAGTCCCCAGCATCCCCTGCATTCTTACACTGAGCCCCTGTCTGGTTGTGGTAGAGTCTGCATTTGTGCCCCTTGCCCCCTGAGGGTCACACCATGTGGGGCCTGGGAAACAAGGCAGTGAACATGCCTGAGCGTCTGCCCTCGAGGAGCTCACAGCACGTGGCAGAGACCACCAGAGACAATCCCAGGGCGGTGGGAAGCAGAGAGCTGTGGGGGCACCTGACCCAGTTGGGGCACAAGTGGGCATGGAGGCAGGGAAGACAGCGAGTGAGTTGAGTTTAACAAGGGGCAGGGGGAGACTTACAACAGGGCACGGGGACATAGAGGGGAATTCAGAAGGAAACATTGTGAGGAGACAGGAGCTTGGAGAAATGGGCACGAGGGCCTCGAGTGCTATTCAAAGGAGCAGGGGGTTGACCATGGAGACCCTGGGGAGCCATTGAAAGTTCTGGAGCAGGGAAGTGGCATCATTTTTGAAAGATCATCCTAGCATCCCTGCATCCAGGTGGCTGCAGGAGGAGGAACTGGGTGGAGGCTGGGAGAGCAGCAAGGAGGCTGTTGCAACAGACCAGACAGGAGAAGCTGGGCCATGGACATGGGGAGGGTGGACAAACCCCAAATATGTGCCTGAGAGTCCTGGCTCCATTTGTCAAGAAGAAAGCCGGATCAACACATGAATGGATAGATCTTCAGCAAACTGCTCTGAGATTGAGTACAGGAGAGGGTAGGACACCTCCAATGCACCACACACACTACTAAGCGCTGGAGGCAGGTCAGTGAAGTCGCCCCCTTGAGGGTACATTCTCATGCTTTGCCTCTCAGAACCCTCCTCACATTCCTCTGAGGTGGGCGGTATTATCCCCATTTTACAGACGGGGAAAGCTGAGGCTGAGCAGGGCACAGTGACCTGCTCCAAGTCCCATGGCTCATAAGCAACAGCCAGAATTTGAACCTGAGTCTGCCTGACTCCCAATCCACGTTCTCCTCATTGCCTCTGGGGCACTAACCTTGTCAAGGAAAACAACCCCTACCCCATTAGCCATAGAACCATGGGCTCCTACAGCCTTCCTCACTCCCCAAGGCCAACAGTGGGGGTGGTGAGAGCCCTGAGACTGCAGCGTTTATCCCGATGGCTGAACCGAAGACCTCCCACCGAGATCTAGCACCGATTTCTGGGGGAGAGGGGAT